CTTCAGCGATTTCCCCCCTTCTAGTCAAATCAAGTTGCCTTAAACACTAATGGTGATGCAATCTCACCAGCTTTAGAGAGAATTTCTCCTGATATTCCCTGGCATAAATAGGGTTGATCTTACCCTTGTAGTCATTAAAATGGAAGCTCAAATTTACCAAGATTTGACAAAATCACTGAGGGTGAAAAGACAGTTTCAGGTAATCACTATTGCCCACAAGTTTTATTATTATTTTTTTCCATTTCATTTCAACTTTGGGGCCTTTGCAGATTCTTTGTTTTCCTGATATCTCAATAATATGTTTTAAAATATTTTTATAATAAAAATTTTAACCATCTTTTCTCATTTTTAAGACAAGAGGGTTATTTAAAGTATTATATTTTCTTATATTCTTGAAAATGTAAGACAGTGAGGTTTAGAAGTAGAAAAGTGAATCCTGTGCTTTAGAATCATAGCTGATGGCAATATGACAACTGATTAGGATAGAAAAGTTAGGAAAATATTTGTACTGTTATTGTCTAGATTGTGGCCTTGATAGAGTAGAATAAAAATGAGAGTAAAATAGGAAATAACTGTGGCATAATCAACAGGACTTGATGCTGAACTGCTTTGTGGTGGATGAGCTCATGAAACAGTATGATGAGTATGGCAATTATTACAGCCTACATGTCTAGGAGGATTAATGAATAACTGTTACTGGATCAAGCTGGCAGTAAATAATAGAAAGTAATTAAGAATTATATAAAATATAGAGCTTTATTCTCTCACCAGTAAAAGAAGTCAGGATATAGGTCCTTAATGTTCTCTCAGTAGCTCACTGACTATGGGACTCAATGATGTCCGACAGCTTCTCTTGGACTTTTGTCATTACTGTAAAATGGTTACTATAGTTCCAGACATCAGGTCAGTGTTAAAGGTTATAAAAGGGAAGGAGTAATGGTGTTTGTTTTATCTGCCCTTATATCAAATAACCTTTTTCAGAGGTATCCTTTCTTCCTCTAGCCCTGCTGTAGGTTCCTTGTTACATCTCACTGGCAAAAAAGAAAGGCTGAGAAAATATTTAACTTTTTCCACATCTATAACAAAAGAGAATATGACTAGAAATAAATGTTGCATTGTACAGACAATATAATATGTCTGAGTCAGGTCCTGACTTCTTCCTATGGAGAAGGCTTATGGAGTCAGAGCATCTGGTTTCAAACTTGCTAGGTAAGCAGATATTCAGATATCCAAGTGGAGGGGTTGACATGATCTTCACTGGGACATAAATAATAAATGATGTGATAAGAACGGGTGAACTTGAGAAGGGAAAGAAAACAATAAAAGAAACATCCCACAGGTAAGGATATGGAAGAAAAAGTACTCTTTCATTCATTAGTGGTGGAAATACTAATGGTATTTAGCCACTTTGAAAGACACTATGGCAGCTTCTCATAAAATTAAACATATTTTACCATATGACCCATCAGTGGCATTCCTAGGTATGTACTCAAATGAGTTAGACAACTTAGGTTCAAAATCCTGCACACAGATGATTATAGGAGACTTGTTGCTAATTATCAAAAGAGTTGGAAGCATGCAAGAAGACTTCCAGTGAATGAATAAACTAGATAGATCTAAATAATACTCTTATCATTAGCAGTAAGAAGAAATGAGCTACTTTTGAACTATAAGGAAATGACCTTTGCAACCTTCAGAAGATATACAGGAATTTTAAATGTACATTATTAAGCAAAAGAAGCCAATATTAAAAGGCTATCTATTGTATGATTCTACCTATATGACATTCTACACGTCAAACTATGGAGAGAGTAAAAAGATCAGTATTGCTAGGGACCAGGAGGTCAAGATAGATGAACAGGCAGAACACACTGGGGGCAGTGAAACTGTTCTGTATAATACAATGACTAATAGACAGTACATATTTATCAAAACCCATTGCATGTATACCAACAAGTAAATCCTGTTGCAAACTGAGAATTCTGGTTACAATGACCCGACTATAACAAATGTACTACTTTGGTCCCTGATGGTGATAGTGTGTGGGGGGGGTATGGAGGGACACTGGGCACATGCGATCTTTCTTTACTTTTTATTTGATTTTGATGTAAGCCTAAAACTGCTCTAAAAATAGTTTATTTTAAAAGGGGGGGCAATACTTAACCTCAGAAACACTTATACTTTAGGGATAGGTAGGAAAAGAGGAACCAGCAATCAAGACTAAGGAAGGGCAATCAAAGAAGAAAAAAATGATAAGGGTTTAGCAATAGGGAACAGGAAAGTGTTTCAAGAGAAAGGATCAATAAGATTGAAATGTATTACTCTTAGGTTGTTTTGTTTTTTGAGACAGGGTCTTGCTATGTAGTCCAGGCTGGCCTTGAACTCATGGAAGTCCTTCTTCCTCAGCCTCCCATGTGCTGGGATTACAAGCTACACCACCACACCCAGCTTATTCTTAGGTTGACTGGGATATTGAATATGATAATGAAAAGTATCACAGGTTTATTAGCAATCAGAGGTCATCTACTGTCTAAGAAAAAATGGCTTTCAAGGAAATTATACTGGAGAACTCCAATTCTAGGAGGTTAAAGCTATGTAATAAGGAAGGTATATTAATGAAAGTAAAAAAGGAAAGAAAGCATATATGAACTTTCTTATTAATTTTAATGTCTACATACTTATGACTAATCTATGTCCAAAATATTTAATATCCAAAGTGATGTTCTTCAAGAAGCCAATTTCTTAACATAAACTGATAAAATTTATTTTAAATGAAAAAATAATAACTAGCACCAGTATAATTCAGTCCCTCACCCAACAGACACCACTGTATATTACTTATTGGGAATATTAAAGATATAAAAATAAGAGAAAACTTTCTATGTCTAGCAAATGCGACTAATATAAAAGAATGCTCATAAATGATCACCAAACTCTAATCTTATGTTTTACAATGAAAATAAGTTAGGAAGAATTTTCCAGTTATTAGAATAAAGGCATTATTTTAATGATACTATTTCTGACAACTATTTGCTTGTATGACAATTATGATTTTGTCATAATCAATACTTTAGAAAGTTCTATATAATGGATAACCATTATATATATATATTTTTTGTCTTCAGTCATACCCCTGGAACTGCTTCTTTTAGAAATCTGAGTGTAATTCAGTGAAATAAGGCCAGAATTTTTCAAATCTTATTCTATTCAAATTCACTCTTACAAATGATAGTAATAATGCTATTTATAATAAAATATTAAAAATATTGTTGGTGCTATTTTTAAAAAATTTCTCATCTTCATTTGGACACAAACAATATTAAACCACTTAAGAAAAAATGACACATAGAAATGTTTCTATTTCCATAAATTGCAGCCTACATTTAATTAAATTTAACATAAACACACAATCAAAAATGTCAAAATAAAGACTATGCAACTGCTATATGTTAACAAATTGAAATTTTAATTTTAGGTTTCTCTTTTTTTTTTCAGTACTAGGAATTGAACCTAGGACCTTTGAACTGAACTACATCCCCAGTCCTTTTTTGATTGTTTATTTGGAGACTGCATCATGATAGTCATTAAGTTGCCCAGACTGGGTATAAACTCATGATCTTCCTTCTTTTGCTTCCCAGAGTGCTAGGAAAATAGGGGTGTATCACCACCCTCTTAGATTGTTTTCAATAAAACAGCCATATTATATTAAGCATATAAAATCTGTCCCCTAACACTAATAAGAAATTAGCAATAAGAAATTGCTAATAAGAAATGAGCAAGCATTACAGAAGTGGCCATTAAAACAATCTTGATTTCCATTTTTCAAATAATGTTTTTAAATTATTATATTTAATTTTCATGAAACAGTCCATTCTTTGGATCACAGAAATTGCCTCTTTTATATATATTGCCTCTTTTCTTACTCATCTTTATGATCTATCTATAAATTCAATAGAAAGAAAAAAAGAAAATGCATTAAACAACAATAAGTTATTATAAGCCCACCACTAAGAATTTCAAAATGAAGCTAAATATATTTTGTAAAAAAATCTGATTTCTTTAAAACATTTTCTTGGATAGATTAAAAATAATTCTACATCAAAATGTCACCATTTTTCTAAATTTTAGGAGATTAATTTTCACAATCCTCGCTTGGTTTGTTAAGATCATGATTCTTTCTATAATTTGCAGAAATAAATGAATTTAAGATGACAAAGTACAGTACAATCCCTCTTGGCAGCAAATATTTTCTTCTTGCACAATAAAAACTAAGATGACTTTTGTTTCCTATGGATTTTCACTTTTAACAAGTTAACGAGAATGGAAGCACCTTGAGGGTAGAGACCATTACTATGTCACAGGCAATATTCTAGGAACTGGGGCAAATATAAAAAGTAGACTGGAAAGTGACAAACATCTTAAAAAATAATTAGTAGAATCAAAATAATGTCTTTTCTCATGATTACAGAATCTACATTATAATGAGACAGAATTTGGTTTCCAGTTCTAATTGAATATATTATATTTCTTTCTCTCTTTTTTTTGTAGCATTTGAAGTACTTTTATAAATCCCAAACATGTTCATATATCCTTCAAGGAGTATTACACCTCTGTGAGTTACTAATATTATAGCTCATTTAAAAATTATTATAATACCAATACAAAGTAAAGGCCCATGATTTAATTTTTTTCTTTTAATGTGTTCACTTTTTATTAACTATAAAAGTTAAAAACATAAAAAAAGAAAAAGAAGGAATATATGTCAAAGTTTTTAATAGTGTATCTCAAAAATCAGAAAATATGTTGTTTTCATGAACAGATACATGAAATAAAATAATACCATAAGAGAAGCATGCTGTATCTGTGTTTAAAGAAGGGGTTGTTGGCAAACACCACAGCTCACTTCTGCTGAAATGTACACAACTGATATATGCAGCACAGAAAGCTGGCACCAAGGGCTTACAACCTTAATTTGCCTGTGAGAAGGAACAGAGATTTACCTTCAGAGCACGTTCTTGATTGTTTTCAGCAGTCAGATGTCTCATGTTGTTTGCTGAAGTCTGGTTCTGCTCTTTCAGATGATGAAGCTCCTGCTCTAGCCGTTTGCACTGCCACAGGGGAAGAATCCCATTAAGTAAAGGAGTTAGCACATTTTTTTCACCAAGCCATATGAATTAATGTAAATAATACCCCACTGTATTCTCTAAAAGACAAGGTTTATTTTTTTTCCATCAAGAAAGGTAAGTAAAAGTAATATTGACTACAAACAAAATAACATTGTGCATAGTACTCTGGTTATTCAATTATAATTTTCAGTTAGTCTTATTAATCTAAATATGTCATAAAATACTTTTAAAATTAAGATCCAACTGTATTCAAAATTATTTTCATTAACCAAATTGTTCTATGTAGTTGTTAACAACCAAAGTATGCTTCTAAAACTCACAATGGATTCTAATTTAGCTATAGTATTATATTGTGATGAATTATTATTTTTAAAATAAAAAGTACTCATAAAATATAATAAAGAGTATTTTACACAATAGTTGCATAGGCTATAAAGTGATAAACTGCAATACAGAAAAATATGAAGATATGTGAGAGATTAAAGGAATAAAGTATTAAACACATTTCAGTGAAAAGCTAAAACTCACCTCTTAATTTATTTTTAAATTACGGTATTTAATTAACAACTGATGAAATAGACATACTGATTCAACATTGTACAAAGTTCTTTCTACACTATTTGACAAATACCTGGTAGCCAAAAGGAATAAAAAAAAAATCACTAGTTTACAAGATACAATCTGTCATTTCTTATTATTCTAACATTTTCTTCTGCCTCGCACCCTTATAATAATATGCAGTCTATACTAGTATTTCTCAACTTTGAGTAATATACAAATCCTTTTACAAGTCTTACCGGACTCCTGATATTGACTTAGATATACGATGTTTATACAAATATTGTTTATACACACGCCATGCATACAAAATACAATTATAAAAAAAATACATAAATTAACCAGAAAATCAAAATATTTCAAATTAATATTAATTTAATAAAATAGAGAATTTGTTAGAGCTAAATTCTGAAAATATGATATAGTACTGAGTGATTCCATGGCAGACACATTTATATCACCATGTCCATTCCACCATGTGCTATGCATGTACTTAATGCATGTATCACATGTTTTTTAATTACATGAAAGCTTTCTGACATGTACCATTTGCCCTTTATTAGGAGGGGACAAATGATTTCCATTAAACTGTGTCTCTGTCCTTTTTAAGCCCAGAACAATTATTTGGTCACAGAGTGAACACAAAAATCATGAGCCATGAAAATGAATAAAACGTAACTGTGTTACAATCTACTAGCAATGTTCTCTTCTAAACCTATCCTTTACAGTTTCAATCAAATTTAGTATCAAATTATTAGATATCATAATGGAATGATCATCAGTTTCAGGGCTCCCTACTCTCTGCATACTCTCATAGAGGAGGTGCTGGGAGCTCCTCTGTGGGAACCCACCAGCAACTGTGTGAAGCACACTGAATGTCCCACTAGCATAGCACTACCACTGTATGTGGTAGTAATGAATAATTGTTTCTGGGTTGGTCAAGCTTTCTCTATCCCCAAAGTCCAGTGGCTCCCAGTTGCTGCTTGCTCATGAAGTGCTATTGTTTTCAAATTCCTGAGTGCACACCAGTGTTGTCTCATACATTGCTCTCCAAAGCCCTGTCATGTGAGTATCTTACTCAGAGTTATACTCTTTCCTGTGGGAAGGTTAGAGTGGCTGTGAGTCTATTCTACAAGCCAAGTCACTGCTGAAGTGCTGGGTTTGTCCCTTAGTGCAATCCTCTTCCAAAACAGTGTATATATCAGACCTGGAGTATAAGGCAGTGCTTTGATTCAAGAGTGGTCCAGCTTCCCCTTACAAACTCAGCTGACACTAGATTTTGGTTCAGTGACCTTCTCTTTTCATTTACCCTCCTCTATCAGGCTTTTTCTTTTAGGCCTCACTTTAGAGTACCTGCTTTTTTTCCAGTGCATGGTTCAGAGGCTTCCTCCTTTGCTCTTACTCTTTATAGGCCATGATGATCTCTTCCAGGTTTATATATTAATGTCCCATTTTATGGATGTTCATCATGTCAGTTATGCAATTTAAAGTCTATACTCCCACAGGAAACAGATCTAGCCTTTTAATGTCTCAGGAAAATTTATCCCCCTTTGCTCAGTCATGGTCAGAGACTTGATTTTTTGTTACTCCTCTGAATGAGTAGGTTGTCTATTTTTTCCATATTCCATTTAAGTGAAGAAAAAGTCCAGATCTATACAAGAATCTCTACAGAGGTCCTACCTCAAGTTGCTACCTCATTCCTTGTAAGGGCAATAAAATCCAAACTCTAGCATTTGGGACATATTCCTGGTCTTGTACCTCTAGTTAACTCGCACATCTGTAGACAAAAGTCTTTTAATTTTTAACTTTCATAATATTTCGGCCCTTCCACTTCTTTCTGAAAAGGTGTGTGTGTGCGTGTGTGTGTGTGTGTGTGTGTGTGTGTTTGTGTGTGTGGAGAAAATGAAGCACTCTCAGGCCAATTTTTGATTGAAATATTGTGATCAAAGAGATAAGTTTATGACCAGTAAGGCTATTTTTGCCCTGAAGATACTCATCCATATTGCACTCTTGGATCAGTTTCCACACACATGTGGCATAAGAGCAATAGAAAGTAAAGCCAAGAAACAACGCAAAATGGCAAGTGTCCCATAGGGCTGCACCTTCAAGTATTTAACCATCCTCCTGATTAAATGAATGAAAACAGACAAATCAAATATTAGAGAAGGTATGTGTTCCTAAATCAAGTAACATATTAAAAAATTTTTGCTATGATGTTCACAGTTTCCTTTTGAATGGACACAATTAAAAACAAAATATCTTTCCTGCTCATATTCTGCTCAATATTAATTTTATTAAAAGTTTTACTGTGGGCTGGACTGGTGCATGCCTGTAATCCCAGTACTCCAGAAACTGAAGCAGCAGGATTGAGTTTAAGGCCAACCTGAGTGACATACCATAGGTAGTACAAGACTAGCCCAAACTACATAGCAAGGGCTTGTCTCAAAAAACCAAAAGACAAAAATAACTCCTTCTCATTACAGTAGTGTTATAAAGCTAATGAAGAGAAAGACAATGTTTGAATTTTAATATCATTGATATATTAACAGATCTAGGCATTTTGATCAGCTCACAACATAAAAAGTACAATGCATCATATACTTCAAGGTGAAAAAAATCTGTAATTTAGCCTTGCTAATAAAAATTAATCTAAATCTGATCATATCTCTAGATCAAACTGTCATATTTAAAAGAGAAGAAAGAGACACACTAAATGATATTACAGAGATGCAATGGAAAAACTAGGACACTCTATAAGAATATTAATAGCCCAGTGTGCTGAAAAAATAAATTCTAAGGGAGAAAAAAGCTAAGGGAAAATATACTACAAATTAAAACAGACAGTAAAAAGTCAATTGAGTCTTTTGCACTGTATGATTTTTACTTAGATTCAGTTTTAAAATAAATAAAATTATGATATAAAGGTCACCGAAATTTGAAAATTATACCAGATGTTTCCAAATGTTATAGAATTACTACTGTATTTTTGGTGTGGTGATACTGTGGTTATATTTTAAACAAGAATATATATATATTAAAACAAACCCCAGTCCTGATAAATAGATTGCAAATATTTTCTCCCAGGCTATGGTTTACCATTATATTTTCTTAAGGTTGACCTTTGATGAACATTAGTTTTTTATTTTATTAATGTTAAATTTATCAATACTTACAGTATGTGTTCTTTCTTTCAAGACAATAATGTTCTTTCATATCTTCCTTCCTTCCATCCCCCTTTCTTTTCCTTTCCTCTTTTCCCCTCCCTCACTCCCTCCTCTTTCTCTCCCTCCTTTCTTTCTCCAATAAAGACATACAAATTACAACACTGTTTATAATAGCAGAAAGGTAGAAGCACCCTAAATGTTCATCGGCAGATGAATGGACATATGAAATGTGCTACATACAAATAATAGAATTATATAAAAAAGAAAGAAAATTCTGATGCATGTCAGAACATTGAGGACATTATGCTAAATGAAGGAAACAGTAACAGTAAACAGGTCAAATACTACTTCATTTACATGAGGTTCTTTCGATAGTCAGTACCTCATTTATAGAAACAGAAAGTAAAATGGTGGTTGCCAGGGTCAGGGACAGAACAAATGGGGAGTAATTTTCATGGCTACAGAGTTTCAGTTTTGTAACATGAAAATGGTTCTGAAAATGGACATTGGAGCATAACAGTGTGAACCCACATATGCAACACTGTTGAGCTGTACAAAGATGGTAAAGTCTGTGGTATGTATCTTTTACCGTAGTTTAAAATACAAAAAATCTGCAAAACTATGATATATTACCTCACACCCACTAATTGTGGCATTGCACTATCAGCTATGACATTCTAAATTTCATTTTTGGTAGGTGCATCAGGATATAAATTATGTATTCTAAATTTAACATTTAACTTATTAATTAATATCTTGAACAATTTTCTTAGAGTTTATGTTTTACTGCTTCATTTACAATGTACAAAATAAATATAAGGACCTTCCAACAGTAAAATTCCATTCACTCAACTCTTTGTTTTCATACATTTTATACCCATTATACTTTGAACAATCTGTTGAACGTCTCATAAATTTAGAGGAAAAAGAACAGCTTTTATACGTCCAAACAATTTCTCATTTTTAGAGCTCTTTATTGATTCCACTAAGTTAAATCTTCTGTTTGGTGCCATTTCTCTAGTTCACAAAAAAATCACTTTAGATCTGCATTATGTAGGAAAAGCATATCTATTGGAATCCAGTTTTCTCACTTTCATTTATCTAAAATTTTATCTTCACTTTTGAAGGATATTTTCTACACACACATACACACACACAATTTGGGGTTGAGAGGAGCTTTTGTTCATTCTACTCCTTTAAAGGGTTTGGCCATTGTATTCTCACTTCTATTATTGGCTAAGGAGAAGTCAGCATTAATCACAGAAATGTTGCCCATATGTGTCTGTGTCCAATCCTGTTTGCTTTCAAATTTTAATA